AGTAGATAAGTCCTGGACCCTTGTTGTCCCTAGCACCCAAGCTGTGCCTTGGCATGGGCCAGTCCCAGTGGCAGTACCCCCGACAAAAAGGGGTGCGCCACAGGGCTTCCGTTGGTCCACGCAGGCTTGGCGCCCTTCTGTACAGCAGAGCACGATCGGCCTGTGGCCGTGGTGGCCGTCGGGCTCACCCTGGGACGCGGAGATGAAGGGGGTGGCGCAGTCTTTTCTACTGCGTGCCGAGTGCCCTGCTGCCGACTTATGGGTTGGGTGCATGAGATAGAAAGTCGTTCTCGGAAAAGAAAAGAGGAAAAGAAAAATAAAACGCCAAAAAATCTAAACCCGTTTTTCTATGGGGAAAATTTAGTGGCCTCGGGTCACTGCGATGCTATGATTTCTTTTCCAAAATTTTGAATTGTCGTTTTCCACCTGATTGTTCTGTCACTTCATAGGGAAGGCCGCCGATTTAGGTCTCGGACTGCAACTGTCATCTCATGGTCTGGGTCTTACCGACCCCTCGTAAAATTGCCTGTACCGGACCTGTTTGTCCGAACCGCGCGGACCCCGGTGGCCAGGTTAAGAGGCAGATACAGTGAGAACTAAAAAGAAAAGAAAATGGGAAAAGAAAGAAAAGGAACACCAGATTCGTGTGTGAGCGCGGGGCTCGGGTCAGGCAAGGCTGGTGCACGGAGAGATTTTGTGACGCCACCCTTTCCTTCCTTTTCCTTTTCCTGTGGTTACTATTATTATTTTATTTTATTATTATTATTTAGTTTTCTAAATTTGATTTTCTACATGTTGGCCTGTCCTTTCGCGGGAAGCCAACGGTTCGGATTTCGAACCATCTTTTCGTGGCCTAAGTAGGCCGATCCCATGTATACAGTCTGTGGGTGCGCTTCGATCTGGCATCGCGCGGCAGGACCTCAAAAGGAGGGCGACCCGCAGCCGCATTTCTTAGGAGGCCTATCACCCCCTTCATGGAGGGTCACAAGCCCCCTCCTTGCCATCGGACACGGGCACCCAACAGGGATAGACCGAGGCTGTACTAAAAAGGGGGAAAAACGATTGTCGATCTCCCGTTATGGGACCACAGTGCCGAACCCGTTGCCATGTCATTAGGGTCTGGGACTGTCGAGGGCAAGGCTAATCCGTGATTGGCCGATTAAGTTTAGGCAAGTGCGTTATTTTCTGAAAATCATTCGTTTGTTCTATTATTAGTCATTTTAAAAAGACTGTAAAATTCTTGAAATCGGGTAAGGTATGAAAAGGACTAGTCTGAGTCCTTCATTCAGAACGCAGGGGACAGACCTATAAAAGAGGGAGGGAGTTGAGATATAATCCGCGGCCAGTCGCCTGGTGGTATAGTCTGTACTGC